TATACTTTTTATTATGTTTTATGTTTTTATATTTTATGTGTGTATATATATATATGTAAATGTATATACCATTTTTATGGTCTCTCATAACTCTTTTTAGAGTGGCTCTTGTTTTATATGTAGAGTTGTAATATTATGTAAATGTTTTATAAGAGGTGAGACTCATATAAAATATTGTCTTGTCTTGTCTTGTCTTGTCAAATATTGTCTAGGTAATAAGACACATGTAACTTCATTTACCTGTAGTTTTATGTACCTGTAAAAATTATGCATTTTCAATAAAAAATATCTTGATTGGAAAATGCTGTAATAATTAATTTGTCAATTCTTTATATATATATATCTAAAATATGCAATATCATAACTTATAAGGACTAGATTAGTAGGTATAAGTGTTAAAAATGAATAAAACATATCAAATCCATTCATTTATATCAGCTGAAACATGCCAAAAGATAAAAGTTTAAATATATCTTACTTTTTATCATTTTTTTACTTCAATAAATAGTAAAAACCACCATGAAAATTTCAATCGACCAGTATTTGCCAGGATGACCACTTGAGGAGTATTGTCCGGGGCGTTAAATACCGGTAAATACCGCCGGTAAATACCAGGGCGGTATTTACCGCCCAAACTTGCTTGGTTGAGTGCTAAAAAACTGTTTATATAACCCCGGCACATTCTTTATTCGAGCCTGAAATTTAGCGGTTGTCTGCCATATTTGTTTTTCGTTTATCATTTTGAATATAAATCAGGAAGTTAATTTTTCTCGTTCGAATTGTTTTACATTTGTCATTTCGGGGCCTTCTATAGCTTGCTATGCAGTATGGAGTATGCTCATTGCTGAAGGCTGTACGACGCGGTTGGAAAAAAAAACGGACAATATTACTATCAATCATGCCAGCTGTTAATACCAGTAAATACCGGTACATATTGGCAAATACTGGTCAATACTGAAGACAAATACTGGTCAACTACAAATTTTCTTATACGAGCATCGTACTCAGGATACAACTTATATTAAAAAGTTTCCGTTATATTTTGTGGCCTGTAAATTGGCGCCAAAGAAGTATTTTTTTTGGCGCAAATGAAAAACAAACCTGTGACGCAAATGAAATACTACATATTTCAAAAAATGGCGCAAATGCAAAATGCCTGTCACTATAGGTCACTAAGTCACTAGGTCACCTGTAATTGAATTTACTTGTAAAAATCATAAAAAAAATTTAAAAATATCATGATTTATACACGATGAAAAAATAAGTATAGTCGTTTTATTTTTACATACATGACAAAATTGCAATAACAATATTCTACTGGCACACACGCATTTACAATAAATGGTAATGACCGAATGGATAAACATGGTAGTAACATGCAAACAATTATGTGAATATAGCATACATGTATTGTTTCATATTTTTCATGTCGGGGCCTTTTATAGCCGACTATACGGTATGGGTTTTTTCTCATTGTTGAAGGCCGTACGGTTACCTTTAATTGCTTACATCCACTTCATTTGAACTTTGGTGGATAGTTGTCTCATTTGGCAATTATACCTCATCTCCTTAATTTTTAAAATAATGAAAATCAATTGCAATAGATTACTTCTCGCATTAAAACAATTTGTTACGAAAGAGGAAGATAGTTTTAGATTTTTTATTAATTATAAGCTTTATTTTATATTTATCGCACAAAGGAGTGTTACTTTTTTTAGTAATTTACTCTCTGATATTGGAGTACCCTCTACAATGTAGTAGCATGTGCTGTTCATTTTCAATTTCACCACTTTTGCAGATTTCACAAGTTCTTTGACCCCGGGCACTTGAAGATATCTTCCTCTTTCAATGGCAAGGTTATGAGCACTTACTCTTAATTTACATAATGAGGATCGATCTGATCTATTTCTTAATGCATCAACATAAGCTGCACGTTCATACATTTTGTAAACACTCTGGAAAAATGTTAATTTTGGAGATGCTAAAATATTTACATATTGTTCTTGAAAACCTTGGTCAATTATATTCTTTGCTTTTTTAAAACCAAAAAGGGGTTTAATAGTGGGTTTTAACGTTTGACAAATATGATAAACCTAATTTTGAATAATTATATTTAATTTTTTTACCCATGGGTTGCTCATTTTCGTAGCCTTATATATTTGGTGAACTAAACTTCCTTCTGAAGGGATTAAATGGTCCCAGAATTTAATGGTGGATAACACTATCATATTTTTTAATGACAGCCTAGCAAGTTCGGAACGACATGCATCATTCGAGACTTTACAGTGAACTCCCAAGATTTCTTTAATGAATTTTATCTGAGACTACTATAACACTGTGTTTTAGTAGTCTCCGATTTTATATGTAACTTTTCATATGTATCACCAAGGAATTGTATATCTAAATATACAATTCCTTGGTATCACTGTATCAGTGTCTTTAAACGTCGAGATAATTCCCCATTTTTCGCTACAATAAAGGAGAATAGAGGCTACTAAAAATCAAAAAGTTTGTCTAGAAGTTTACAAGGGTTATCTAATCCTATGGTTTTCTTTATTTTACAATATGCTTTCCTAGCTTTTTCCAGAAGCGAAGGGATGGCGACATTAAAACTGCCATTATATCTAATCAGGAACAGATATACTGTTCCCAGATCTAATATAAATGACATAAATACCCAAGGATTTGTATAGTAAGATGGTCTTACTATACAAATCCGTGACATATCCAACTAAGTCAGACATCACGTGACTTTTGTGACGTATACTAGCCGCCATTTTGTATTATATTGCCCCATATAAAATGCATAGGTGCTTCAATAAAGTTTAGTTTTCTCATGAACCTGACCCGTTTTCTAACTTTTGCAAATCAATCCTTGATATTCAAACATATTTCTATCAAACAATGTTGGTCCTAACAGTTTAATTTTTGATTAAATTCTGTCACTGGAGAATCGTAAAAACATGTACTTTTTCTCGTTATTTCTCCGTTGACTCAATGCTAAATGTACCGATACCCATGTCTACTTGTATAACAAATAAAGAAATTCCGTTAATAAAAATTAAACTTTGCAAATCGATTAAGTATATTCAAACATATATCTGGCGAAAAATACTATTTAAAACAGTTTAATTTCTGGGCAATTTCGGTCAAAAATCGATTTAAAAAAGTGACTATTTCGGGATTTTTCAAAATGGCGGATGATGTATATGGAAATGTTGCATCAAATCGAGGATTTGTATAGTAAGACTTTCCTTGATTTCATTTAATTTTCATGTTGAATCTCTGATGTTACTGTTATTTTCTTTGGTGACATTTCGATATGATTGATTTCAAAATTTATTGATTAAAAAAATATTATTTTAAGTGTGACACGGGAACATTTTATTTTGACAGATATCCAGGATATACTGTTACCAGAAAATAGTTAACAATAAAATTTATAATAAAATTTTTTCTCTTCTTTTTTTAAAAGGTTTTTTTGCTGTTTTCTGTATAATTTATCTTTCTTTAGAAATATATTTATACATTCCTTTTAGAACAAAAAAATATTTACGTCCCAAGAGAGAAAAAAATCCCAACAATTATTATAGATAAATATTCCATACCTTCAAAATCCCATCACTTGACGAACAGGTGAACTCTGACTTTGGATGTAATGTTACAGAACAATATATTGTCAGGTAGACGTGCAAACCAAAAGCAACCAGGTGACATTAAACATCCTGTGTACTATGATACATGTATTACCAGAGTTTAAATTTTGTGATAAACAAAAGTTTTCATAACTGTACAAATAAATATCTTTTCTTCCCCGTGTCAAACCAGAAGAAGTATGTATCATAATAAACCGTAAAAAAATATGAATATTATAAAAAAAATCTTTTAAAAAAAAAATGTTTGCTTTAAAAGATAATCAAACTAATATTTATGTTTCTATAAATATTTTAAAGAAATATTTTGATTCAAATTTTAATTTAAATGGATTTTGTATTATTTCGTAAAAAATTAAACGAGATTTCATTGAATATGATTTTATTATTTATTTTTTTAATTCAATATTTTAAGCAAAATCCAGGCATTCAATAAATCGATATAAAGTTAAACTTGTGTAAAAAAAATTGTTATTGTATACATTTCAACAGAGACATATAATACATTATTGCTCTGATTTCAACAACATTGTATACCCGACAATATTTATCGACAGAGTTATCGGTCCTGAATAGGACTGATATAGTTGGGTATGAATACCCAAGTAACAATAAGTACTGACTGTCTTTAAGGTTTCGTCATTATAACAAAATTCGTTAATAAAGGACTATCCATTTGAATTGAAAACCATTTCTTTGATTTCTCTGTATTTACTTGTAATTTCCAAAAGGAACAATAATTACTTAACTTATATTGGATTTAACCAAATCATTAATTATAAGTTTAATAGTTAATAAACATACATGTAGCATTCATTTAAATGAACTGAATCATGCAAGAGAGAACAAAATAATATTTCCTCTAGATACAACATGTTTTTCAGTACATTTCATAGTAAATCTACATTGAAAATTTCAATCGCCCAGTATTTGCCAGCATTGGCCACTTGGGCCGGTATATACCAGTAAAGATCAGTAAATACTAGGAGCGGTAAATAACCTACGATGACCTATAGTCGCTAACTTTTACGTCTGAGAGTTGCCTCATTGGCAATCATACGGTCAGTTTACCACATCTTCTTATTTTTATATGAGGGTCTGGATGGGGGTTTACAGATTAGAGAAAATTGATGAAAAAAAATTAAGAAAAAAGAAATGAAGGACCCCAATCCATACCCTCTTATATTGGTTTGCTTCATATATAACTATTTTTCTAAATACTGACATGTAGATTTACGTACAACTCACGGAATTTAGGAGAATCCGTCATTGGCTTTGGTACTTTATAACAAAGTTTTTAAAACGTTTGTGGCCTATCAATTTTATGATAGCAATGACAGCTGCAGTTTGACACCGAGTTAGAAAAAAATCCCAAAGAATCGAAAAATGGCGATGGATAAACCCAGTACCTCCACTGAAAATGACTTTGATTCACTAACACTACATGATATGTTTAGAACAATTGGTGATCAAATGACACCTCGGGATGTCAAAGTCTTGAAATTTATATACAGTGGCATAATGGCAGATGATATTTTGCGAAAAGTGTACGATGGTTTCTCGTTTCTTTTAGCGTTAGAGAAAATGGATAGAATCGATGAAACGAACTTCAAGCATATTTTAGATCTCTTACGGATTATTACACGACATGACTTAACACCTTATGTCACACTTAAGCGTAGGAAAACTGGTATGTGATTGATATTGTAAAATATAATGTACATAATTTGTGTACATGTATGTGCAACATTTCTTTCATTGCCTCAAACCATACTATACAGAGCAACCTTATCCCTTCTCTTACTTAAACCTTGTCAGAGCAAACCTTTGACATAATCCAGTCAAAGTAATTTCCATGTCCAACATTTTCAAATGATTTTTATACATTTCTTAGGTTGTGGTTACAACACTGACACTGTCCATGTAAGGAAAAGGGGTGGGGGGTCTGTTCGCGTCCAATACACTTTTGCACCCTTCACGTTCGCACCCCACATGTTCTCCCCTGGGTCCGTTGGCACCCTACACGTTCGCACCCTTTTTTAAAATTAAATGATGAATTATTTGATGTTTTTTAGATGTTTATATCAAAATATTTGTATTTTCATAACATGTAAAAACAATGAAGATTCAAAATGTTATTGTTGTTGAGTTTAACGGAAGTTTGGTATCTTAACATTAAAAAAATATTTAACACCAAAAAACCTTTTAGAAAGTCACTTAATTTGAAACAACAAATATTTTTTTTTATAGCAATCCACTAACCAAAACACGATTAAATAAGAATGTGTCCATAGTAAACGGATGCCCCCACTCGCACTATCATTTTCTATGTTCAGTGGACCGTGAAATTGGGGTAAAAAAACTAATTTGGCATTAGAATAGAAAGATCATATCATAGGGAACATGTGTACTAAGTTTCAAGTTGATTGGACTTCAACTTCATCAAAAACTTCCTTGACCAAAAACTTTAACCTGAAGCGGGACAGACGGATGAACGGACTATCGTAGGTGGGGCATAAAAAATATTCAACACAAAAAACGTCACTTAATTTTGAAACAATGAAAAAAAACTTATTTATAGCAATACAATAACCAAAACACGATTACAAAATTATTCAACACAAAAATCGTTTTTAGAAAGTTACTTCATTTTGAAACAATGAACAAAAAATATTTATCGCAATACACTAACCAAAACAATGCAAAAAACGATTGAAAAATTATTAAACATAAAACCAATAAAAAGGGTGCGAACGTGTAGGGTGCTAAAGGACCCGGATTCGGGGCACTCACAAACATGTTTATCCCTGCCTGTCATAAGTCAGGTATTCATTAGTTGTCAGCACGTGCAGTCTTGTTTTGTTTTTGTTTGTTTAATGTAAGTTATACATGTAGATTCGGCCGGTATTTTTGTAAGTTAATATTGTTTCACATTTTTCATGTTGGGGCCTTTTGTAACTGACTATAGGCTATTGGTTTTGCTCATTATTGAAGGCCATACAAAGACCTATAGTTGCTTAAATCCATGTCATTTCGACTGATGGACAGTTGTCTCATTGGCAATCATACTACATCAGATCTCCTTATTTTATAATGTCAAATCTAAATGGTATACAATTTATACGACAACAAATTTCTTTGCAGTGATCTAACAGTATATGGTTGTCAATGTTTGAAATAAACATGAGCTAATTAATTTGCCTGTCACTTGGTGAATCTCAAAGAGGGTCGTTGAGGATATTTTGGCAATTGCACATGCTTTTTAGAGCAATCAATAAAAATTATATTGTACCAGTTTCAAATAGAATTTTTGTATGCCCTCAAATAAAAGTTTCAAGCTTGGATTCCTGGAAGAACGAAGGCCTCAGTTTGTCAGTTAAACAGTAAGGCTTACATTTTTTGTATGTTACAATATAACAACTTGTTTGCTTTGACCAATGGATGTACATATATTTTTCCTGATATAATGACATTGTGTATACATGATATAATTTTCTTCTCTGAACCAGTCCTTTGTAATAATTCTAGGGGTCCTATTATCAGAACTGACAAATCAAGAAGTTAACCTAATATAATAAAAACTTGCCAGGCATTAGAACCTTGCATGGATGGAGATAGGTATTTTTTGTATACATGTATATGAATATCAAAATTCAAATCAATAAATTACCCTTAAAAACAGTCTTGTCATCTGATATACAGTTGTACATGTACAAACTACAATGTACATGCTGACATGTGGGTAATTGCTTTGATAGTAAACAAGAAAAATATTGATATTGCAAGATTTGATTTTCACTATTGCAGAACATGTTGAATATTTAAGTGCATTGATATTTATGTTGATTATGATAATGCCTATCATACCTATAGATTTTTGGGGGATGAAACCCTTGCATTTGGTTTTCTAGGAAAAACCTATAATCATATTATACATGTACATGATGTACAAATGGATTTTGTACATCCCAAAACTTAATCTATGTATTAAAACGTTTAAACCTGCTGCATTTGTTTGCTCCGGTCCTAAGTCTGGAACCTGATGTTCAGTGGTTGTCGTTTGTTGATGTGGTTCATAAGTGTTTCTCATTTCTTGTTTTTTATATAGATTAGACCATTGGTTTTCCTGTTTGAATGGTTTCACACTAGTCATTTTTGGAGCCCTTCATAGCTTGCTGTTCGGTGTGAGCCAAGGCTCTGTGTTGAAGGCCGTACTTTGACCTATAATGGTTTACTTTTACAAATTGTGACTTGGATGGAGAGTTGTCTCATTGGCACTCATACCACATCTTCTTATATCTATTGTCGTGTTTTTCTGTTTTCAGTTTTCCCTGATCCTGTATCAGAATATTTAGAGATGACAAATGAAACAAGTTTCCAACAAGATCCATCACAATCTCAAGCAAAGAAGAGAAGAAAAAGTTATACATATAAAAAGAAATCTCGAAGGCAATCTACCTCTACCAGTACACAAGCTACAACAAATGAGGAACCAACAGAAAGTCAGAAAGCCATAGATGCTAAACAAAAAGTTACATGTGGTATGTGGTAATCTATTCCCAATTCCTTCAATTCAAAACAAAGATGTGCTCAGGGATTCACTCTTAAGCTATTTTAAGGTGGTGCTCCTCCCCCACTTGAATTTTTATGGCACCATCCTTGGATTTCCAGTACCACTCTTGATTTTCTTAGCATAAACCTTAATTTTTTAGATAAGTTTGGAAATATTTGAGTATAATGTTCATTGATTTTAAAAGACTTAAAAGACAATTCAGTTAATTTTGTTTGGTCATAACACATGTAAAATGAAGACATTTAAGATACAGACATTCATGTACACACATATAAATGTATTTAAGAGTACTGCATTTCAAAAGATATAAAAAAAAATTATATTTTTCAACCATTAAAATAATTATTTTATATTAAAGCATAACCCTTTAAAATTGTTTTGTGGTGATCCCTGGTACTTGTAATATGTATTGAGTATACAGTACATGTATGAGATTAGACACACATTTATATTTCGTTGCATGTAAAAAAGTAGTGTTTAAGCATGTAAAGTCAGGTGGCAATTATGGAGATTGAAACAAATAACTGATCAGTGAAGTCTCATCACCATTGTATCGACTAGAAGAGTAGTGGAGCAACTGTGCTATATGGAAACTTCCTTCAATTCCAAACAAAGATAATATAAAAAATCTATATTTTATGGTACAGTTTGTGTACCAGACTGCAAGGCTGTGGTGGTAGTTTGAAGATAGGCTCTTTTCAAATTAGGGAGAGAGTTTATGATCTAAACATGCCAGAAGCAAACCAGAAATCCGGTAAAATTTAAAACATGCAAGATGTCAAGTTAGTTTACTGATGGCAAATGATAATGATGTTGTTATATTGAACAAAACTATCACTAAATCAATAAGTCTGTCTATCATTGATGTTGTTGCAGGATTTTATGCTTTGCCAGGTACATTTATTCCCTCCACCAGTGATCATTAGCCTTCTAAATTCCATAAAATTGCATTACCCCGGTATTAGCACATTTTATTTTCCTGAAGAATTTGAGCTGTAAATTAATCATGTCAACAGAGTGCCAAACACATTATTTTCATTTCATATGTGTACAAAAATAGTCATCAACATCCCAAAAGTCACTGTAAGGCTTTCAACATTGGCCTTTCATTTATGTATGTATTTAAATGATTATATGATAGTATTTTGTATAAATTGTTTCATTGCTTTGTAGATATCAAATTACGAGTTAGAGCTGAATATGAGACACATGACTCAGCCCTTGTTAATGTGACATCTAACAAACCAACAGAATTAGAGAGACAATTAGAACGATTCACACAGGCAGATACAATTCTGAAGTCTAGAGATATTGGCTCAATTGTGTGTGATATAAGTTTTTCTGAACTTACTTACCTAGATGCTTTCTGGAGGGATTATATTGATGGGTCACTTTTAGAAGCTCTTAAAGGGGTATTTATTACAGGTGAGTACAAAAATATGGACTTCAAAGTATCTGAAATGTTTAACACAGGAAGGATACATGTATTAAGTTTATATCACTTTAAAAGGCTTTAAAATCATGGATGCTTAGGATAGGGAAATATATAAAATAATGCAGAAATAAACAAAAGAATCTTTTTTATGGAATCTCAAATTTTAAAAGGAAATGTACATGTAGCAAGAGTGCAACATTTATTTACATGCATGGTCAAAAACATCAGTCTTTATAAACCAATCTTTGAAACAGACTGTAAGATCAGTGAAGAAGAAATCACTTTGCTTCTGGCATATATTTGTCCTTGAAGTTGCACTGGTGAGACTACAGCCACTGTTTTGAGGCAGAATCAACAAATTGTTGACGTTTGTGATAAGGTCAGGTAAAAGGGAACCACTTATGCTAAGTCCATGATATTTGTATGCAGTTGTATAATCATTGGTACATCTTATTTCCATGGAGATTATTCTGCCCCTCCCTCTCAGATATGGCCTATTGACTTTGAAACTTTTGCATAGTTTATGTGTAGAAGTTTGTGATTAGGTCAGCTTAAGGTAGGTCAATAGTGTTTGGTATGAAGTTATATGAGCATTAGCACAACTCATATCCATGAAGATTATTTTGCCCTGTCCCTTCAGACAACAACTATTGACTTTGAAACTTTTGAAATGTTGAAGTTTGTGATTAGTTTAGTTTAAGGGAAACCACGAATGAAGTGGATGATATTTGGTATGCTGTTATATCAGCATTAGCACATTTCATTTCTATAGATATTATATGGGCATTGGCACCACCCTCTCAATCATGGCTCATCGACTTTGAATGTTTTTCATAGCTAATACATGTTAAAGGAGCATTAGCTACAAAGTTAAAAAAAAATGTTTTTGTTTCAAAATTTTATAAAAGAGGGATTGTGAAATGATATTTCGCTATTAACGTTCAATTTGTCAAAATAAGCTCCAAAAACATTGATGATGTAATAATGGCTTTTAAGTCAATCATTTCAATAATTCCACTCATTTGAATCTGTATTCATGCGGACTTCAGTTTAACACTTAACTAAGATGGGCTATGCATGGGCTAAGCATGTTTAGTTATTAAAAAGAAAAGAATGTCAACATTGAAAAGAGAAACAAGGCAGCCACCAGGAAGAACTTCGTTGACTGATTCTATCCACAAAAATCATTCAAATACAGGTAAAACAATGATTAACAAATGTTTTAAATCAAACATACCTAGAAAAATTGTCATTATAAAATTGCATGTTTTTGCCTGTGTATTTATATTTATGTACATGTATATCAGGTCATATGACCTACAGAATTCTTCAGGATCATCTCAATGGTAAATGGCTAATATAAACACAAAATGTTGATACATTTAACAAGTAAAATATGAGATTTTGAGTCGAATCGTTGAACATGAATTTGACAGCTAATGCCCCTTTAAGGATTGTGATTATGGTAGTTTAAGGGGAACTACTTATTGTAAGTCTATGATATTTGGTATGCAGTTGTATTGGCATTGCAATATTTCATTTCAATTGGGATTAGTTTGCCCTGCAACTGCAGTCATGGTTCATTGACTTTAAAGTTTTGCACAGTTAAAATGTTAAAGGGTTGCCATTTGAACTTCAATATTTGCATTATACTATCAAAATTACATACAGGCTAGACATATCTCTGTGTGAGCAGTTTATTTTGAATATAAATTTGAAAAGTACTTCAATGAACTGTGTGTGTAACTAGTAGAATTTAAGCTCACCAATTGAGGCTCCCTGAAAGATGATCTACATGAATGGATTTATGGTCTGATCTCATGCTGAAGAAAACTCTTGGAAGAAAAAATTATGAGCAAATATGGCATGCTGAATCACAACAGACAGACAAAAGAACAGAGTAAAAAGTAAAGGGTGTCTGCAACAAAGTAGGGTCCTGGATTTCATGTAGGTGGTAGCAAATTTTTTTTTTAACTTCATCGATTTTCATTTTGTATTACTAACTGGTAAATGATATTCTACAAGCATGCATAATAGAATATTTTTACCCCCATCTGGAAAGGCCCCTATAATTTGTAGTAGATAGTTGAATGTGAACAAATCAAGTTGTTAGTAACTTTATGATATACATTTTCAGCTACTTTGAAAAAGATAGTTGGACAGGAAGCTATCAACATGATCAAGCTGTTCGTTGCATAATTACCATATATATTTTCAGCTACTTTGAGACAGGCAGTTTGACAGGAAGCTATCAAGTTGTTAACTAGTCAGTTACTTTTTCGTATACATTTACAGATAGGATACTTTGAGACAGGTAGTCAGGCAGGAGGCTATCAAGCTGTTAGTTAGTTACTTTTTCATATATATTTACAGATGGTTGGGCAGGAAGCTAACATGTTATTAGTATCTTTATTGTTTATATTTATAGATACTTTGAAACAGGTGGTTGGGCAAGAAGCTATCAAGTTGTTAGTTAGTGTTGATGAAGACGATTATGAAGCTGGAAGACTCAAGTTGTTAAAGAAACTTAAATTTTGAACATAGTGAAAAATTACACAACAGTGCTGAAAAATTAAATACTGTGAATTCATTTATTTTCGTGGGTACCAATTTTAGTGGATTGAGGAAAAAATGATTTTCGTGGACATTTGATTTCATGGATTTGCAAAAGTCTGCATACAAGCTGATAGAAAATTTATATTTCATTGAACATTTATTTAGTGGTTTACCTTTACCTGTAGAATCCACAAAAACTGGTACCCATAATAATGAATCCACAAAACTGGTACCCATAATAATGAATCCACAGTACATAAATAATTAAATGACAATGTAAAAAATAGATATGATAGATATTTATATAACAGATCAAACTTGATTACAATAGATGGTTACAAAAATAATTACACAATAATTGAATAAGATAATAACTGTAAATTCAGAAACTATTGTGAATATTCTCAAAAGCAAAAACTTGCATTTTATTTTATTAAATTTCTATAGGATTATTTGTATGCAGCATTTCATGAAATCGCAAAAAGTAATCTCTCATTTGTGTCCATTGTAAACAATCATCATAGTAAAAGCCTGTAATAATAACTTCTGAATTAACAGTACATGACTGTGTTGCAGATAATATGTTTGAAGCATTTGATTTTCCAAAGTTTTGATCTCAAATGTACTTTATAAAGGTTATTTAGATGCATGTGTTGGGTGCACTAAAATTGTCATCATATGAATAAAGATAAATGTGGAGACAAAGTTATTCACTGTCATCTGGTTATCAAATGTTTATTTGAGGTGTACAATGTCTAAATGATGTTTATGATGTTAAGTTGAAAACCTTGAAACATGATGAAATATATTATTCAGGGATTGCTTGTGAAAAATTAAGCATGGTCAATGGCAAATATTTATGTAAATTTTAAAAAAATTGTTAACATGGCTATATATCTAGTTTTTATGTCCCAGCAACAAAGTTGTCGGGCATATAGTTTTACCCTTGTCCGTCATTCAGTCATTCTGCAACAAACATTATACGTAACTTTTTCTAAACGCCTTCAGATATTGGGCTGATTTTTGGTATGTGAGTTAACCATGATGAGTTACAGATCAAGTTTAAGTATCGTTCCGCTCTGCTAAATTTTGCCGAAATTACGGGTTTTGGACTTTGAAAATTGTTGAAAATCACAGTTATACAAACTTTTTTTCTATACGCCTTCAGATTTTGCGCTAGTTTTTGGCATGTGAGTTAACCATGATGTGTTATAGATCAAGTTTATGTTTCTTCTGCTATACTGATTTTCATGTTGTTTCATCACATCTTGTTAGATCTGCAGTACATCCACTTCCTGTTTGCTGATAGTTTGAAATTTAACTACTCATTGATCAAGGAAATTTTTCATCAAACTAATATTGGTCTTGAGAGCTGGATACTATCCATGCATGTTTGTGTCCACATGTGTTGTTGAAATTGATTATTTTTTAACTTTTTGAGACAGGGCCATATTGTCGTTCCGACACATCTAGTCTTAATACTGATATAGATACTTTTAGAACTTAGAAGTTTTGATGTAGCTATCCAGTCTTGTATTTGAAGTATCCAATTGTTTACTATATTATTATGAAAAATTCTGGCAGCCTAGGTTTAATTTTAGGAGTCATGATCAACTAGGCCTCTGCAAATATTAATGCCTGTGTATTAATATGAATATGAAAATTTTTTCTTCAAAACAATTAATTAATACTAATATAGATCCTTTCCTAGCTGTTGAGTATATATTAAGGTACATTTTAATGCACCTTGAAACAAAGAATGAATACACTATCATTTCTCATCTTTTGTATGTTTTATAGTAGAATTTTGCATTACACCTTCAATTGATTTCACTCGTCATAAACTACTGTAGATAAGGATTAAGTTATTGCATTTAAAAGTGAAGTATTACTGTGTATATAAAATACAAATTTTTAAACTGTAAAAGTAGAATTTGTTATGATGTCTTAATTTAGATTAAAGTACCAAATCTTACTAGTTAGATCCAATAGTTTAACCTAAAATTGCAGTTCAAGAGTATTTTTCACAAAAAGTGTAGTGGAAAAATTATCATAATATATAAGAGTGTTTTAGAATTGGTAACAAATTGAATTAAAAATTTAATATCAAACCACTTTTAAAGTATTCCTGTTTTCAAATTAATCTGGTGTTCTGAATTTTGGTTTTGATACCTGCATTTGTCAGGAAAGGCTTGTTAAATTTGGGAAAAATTATAACGGTCAATTTCTGTAATATAACTTTCAGGCCTGCACATAGCATCAATTTACAATGAAAGTGATAAAGTATTCTTTTTGGGCAAGCCAATATGGTTCTATGTCATCACTTTGGATTTTAGGATAAGACAGGATCCTGAATAAAGGCTTCCTCCACCCCAATAAAAAACTAGTTGTCTTCATACAGCAAAGAGTGCTTAAAGAGGTGTTAAACAACATCAACCTTTCAATCAATCATTTAATCAATCCATAGGAGATATGTAAACAACTTTCAAAATATAAAACACCATTTTAAATTGTCTTCTACTAACTTGAAATAAAAAAAACAAACTTTAAAGTGAAGGTAACTGATTCAAATTTGACTAAATACACTTGCTTATAGTTCAATCAAAGTTCATCAAATATTAGTCTTAATAATTTGAAGTCGAAGGGTAAAATATTATTTTTAAACAGTTGTTAAGCAATTGTGATAGTATTGTACAGTATTTGTATCTTATGTTTATGTAAAATACTTTAATACAACATCTGTGATTTCCAATGATTTTTTCAAATATATACAAAGGGAGATAATTATTGTTTACTTCAATGTTGATTATGCTTTGTTTGATAACAAAATAAGATCTACAAAAGTGAGAGTATTTTTAACAAAATATCATGTATGAACCTTTAAAAACTTGAAAGAAACCTTCCAAGAACTGTTTTGAAAGAAAAAAAACATTTGTAAAGAAATGATTGAATGTTATAATTTACATGTATAGATTTGCTGCTTTTTGTTATCAAGTTAGATTGGCTGATTCACAGCATCAACAGTGCTTTGATAGTAATGTTTCAGTGAATGAAATACTAGACTTAATTTCAGTGAGAAAATTGTGCTTGCCATTTGAAAATTGTAAAATGAATTTTGAAATCAGATGAAACTACCAATTGAAAATTCAGTCTAAGTTAAATATACTTTGATAAACTTAAATTTGAAATAAAAATATAACTAAACAAACAGTATACAAATGCCAGATTTTTTTAAATGCAATAATGATGTATATATTTATAGCTTAAACATAATGGTAATTTTTACTGTTTAGTGCCGAGTTTTTATCATTTTTTTTTCAAATTCAAAATCAAGTCAGGAAAAAAGACACAGTCACATCTACATTTGATACACATGTAGGGGGAAAATAAAAAGTAAATAATAGTTTTGAAGGAAGTCTGTATTTTTTTTTTCAAATGAGGTCTGCTGAACTAACATTATTTTATTTGTAAATGTTAAATGAAGCAAAGGATATTCCAGACTTGTTGGTTGTTGTCGTGACTTAAAATTGAATGTGAAATTTGTATTGTTTTTTCACTTTTACATTGATCAACTAAATGAAATACACATTTAATGTAGTAAAGGGAGATAATCCATTGTTAATTTCTGAAGGTATCCACTTTTGTAGACTAACTTTTAATCTTCAAGAATGATTTAAAGAAAAATTCTTATTTTTCAAAAACATTTTTCTTTTATCATGCAGACTTTTGCAAATAATTTTTCACACATGGATATTTATTTTCAGATTGTTTGCCTTTTTCTTAAAAGTTCATGCATATAGTAAAGTTAATATATTTTTTTTGTGTGGGCAATTATTCACATGGAATATAGAAATTGATGATTTGCCCAAGTTAAGAATTATTTTTTTTGTCTGTATACATGCAATCTTTTTACATAAATTACATTAGGTATTTCATTAAATAATATGTATTGACCATAGCGACCCAATGAGTTAATTTTGACAAGGAAATTATCAAATGATTATTGAATCAAACATTTTTAAAGATTTATAGACGTGAAACATACTAAAAATCGTTTTCAGACTTTGTTGTAGGATTATTTTTTTTCTTCGAATAACTCTATGTTAAGAATACACTATAAATATGAATAACTATCCATCAAGTAAATTCTGCAACCAAACATTAATACATCATAAGTAATTTACAGAAATATTTTTTTGTAACATTTTATACATTCACACGTTTTGATTATTTAAATGTTAGTATGTGGTTTTTCCTATCTCACAGTTTTTCCTTCATATCACTTTTTTATAAATGGTGAAATTTCTTAACATTACTCAATTTTTTAAAGTTGAAATCAGATAATAAAATGTCAATTAAAGACAATGAGCCAAAAAAAAACAGAAAAAACATCAGGGGGCAACATACTGTATTCAATAAAAGACAAGTGTCAATACCATAATATAAGACCTGAATTGCAAGGAGTGTAGACAAGATTGAAAAGAACTAATGGTTATTTAGAAATATGATGTTAGTACATAGTGCCCGGTAGTTGAAATGATTTATAATTATATAAACTAGTCCTGTGGTTAAATCTTGTTGCTTTATTCTTGACTTTAGCATTAGAAGAAAGTTTTGAACGACACAGTTAAAGGATCCTTGTTAAAAAGAAATGATAATCTATTTAAGATATTGAAAACAAAACTCAAATTAACTTCTTTAAAAAATGAATATATGGATTTCACATAGAGGGGACAAGGCACACAAATTATTGTTTAAGTATATTGAAGCAAAGAATTTTTAGAAGTTGTTATCCCTTAAATAAATGTAGATAATTTTTTTGAATTGCCAAAATGTAGTCTATATATTGTTTTTTTTTAATATAGTAAAAAGTAGAGCTTTTTTTCAAGCTACTGGTTGTGCAAAATTAGCAGATTTTGTATAGATCATATATGGGAAACCCCGTTTTTGTGATAGAAAGAAAAAATAAACTATAGAATGAAAAGATAATATATGAGAAAATAGCTCTCATGATGTGCTTTTAAAAAATAAAGATGAAAATTGGGGTCACAGGTCTGGTTATTCTTGCTATAAAAACAACATAGCTAAATGTGCAACATATTCCTTTTTAAAAGTTAGTTCATCTGAGTTATCTCCCCTTAGAAGGCCAAGTTGAAAAAAAATGTAATCAAACAAAAGCAGTCAATAAAACACACATTTTTCTTCATTTAGATAAAAAAAAGTTTTACAAATTGAAAACATTTTTCTCTTAAAATTTGCATAGTTCACTAGATAATTTATCTAAACCAATTGTTTCTGCTATTTTACAATCCAAGATGGCAGAAGACACTAGTTCTACTTTAAAAAGAAGCAGTGCAGTTATTTGATATTTTCCATACCTGTTTAAATCTGTCTTTAAAATTCAATTTCTGTCTCTGAGGAGTTTTATTCTCAACTCTTCAAAAATAGTGTATGTATTCATATATCTAAATATAAAATGTACATTATTTAAATTCCTTGTGGTACATGACTGTCTAAAGATATGGAAATGTTGTAGCATAAATCTTACCATAAATAGATATATTTTTTACTTTATGACACTCATGTTATTAGTAGAAAGCAATATGACAACATTTTTTCTGCATTTGTTGGTAAAATAGGTAGGTTATGTTTTTTGAGAAAGCGATAAATGAGAAATAAAATATATGTTAAAAAACAATCCAGTATTTTATTGATTTGACATCAAGAAGTACAATTTGTCAGAATACTTTGTACTTCGACTTCATTAAATTAGTTCTTTTTGACAGACTGACAGAAGGAAAAGATCTCTTTTTATAAATCAATAAAAGATAGATGGAGTATACATCAATGAGACAGCAACTCAAAGATAAAAAAATGAAGGACATCTAGAGGTCAACATACAGTATACGTATTCAGTGATACATCTAGAGGTCAACATACAGTATACGTGTTCAGTGATACATCTAGAGGTCAACATACAGTATAAGTATTCAGTGATATATCTAGAGGTCAACATACAGTATACGTATTCAGTGATATATCTAGAGGTCAACATACAGTATACGTATTCAGTGATACATCTAGAGGTCAACATACAGTATACATATTCAATGATATACATAGAGAATATCATATGGCTTTTTCAATATTACACACACCTGTATCAACCTGAGACACCAATATAATCCCATGAGCTCTGCTCGAGGGACTATATTGGTTGAGGGTTGATATGGTGTGTGATATTGAAAAAGTTATATCATACACACTTTATTATATACATGTACCTCAAGTACAACTAATCTCTCATATATTTTTCACGAGACATGACGTAATACATATTATGGGTTTGATAAAGTTTTTGTAACCATGACGGATATCGATTACGTGACATCATACAGATTAGGTTTTGATAAAGCGTTTTAACCCTAACTGATATCAATATCATCACGGATGGCTGATACAGCACGACTGTCATCAATAGTGTTACACATACAATTTACCTGTATTTACTACTAAGTATATAATAAAGATGTTTATCCAATATGTCATGCTCCAGATTACAGATCAACACTGTTAAAAGTTAATAATGTTCAAGGATTTAATGATTGATTGTTGTTTGCTTTAAAATATCCAGTGGCAAATATTTTATGCATTTTCAGGACGAGAGCAAATCAACAACAAATCCAATATATGGGTTGAAGTAGGTGAACAGAAACAAGATGCAGCAACTTAATTCCACGTGTCATTCAGATTATGTGATTTTTGCACTATTGTAAATGTATCTGGAGAAAGATGCAAGACATCTTATAGCAACAATTCGGTCATTCATCTATTGGTACGATGTGCTGTTGTGTAACCATTGGTGCAAGTTATTACTGCAATATTAAATTAGGTAGCTTAATTATCTCAAGAGAGGCAAAGGAAGTCAAGGACACAATACTGCTTAATTAGGAGGGGATGATATACATGATCAAACCGTGATGGTGTAAGTAAAACAATTGATGATAACAACCTTTTCATTCACGGAACCTTTAATTCAGCAGCTCCATTGGAAGCAACAATGATCATAATAAAAAAAAAACAAAGTGCGGTATATCGTTTCAACTGGAACTTCATAACCAGGTGCTAATATTTCAATACAAAAACGGAAGGATTACAATGGGAACATTTAAATCTTCCCTTTTATCGTTTAGTTCTCAACCAGTCGATCTGTCAATTTCAAGATGCAGACCCAACTGTATATGTGGTATCGTTTAATTTCACACTCAAAGAAAACGATATACACTCAACATTGTCATCAAACTTTAGTTATTCAGTGAGATATATATATATACAAGTCTAAATTGAAAACAACGTTCAAATATTGGTATATATATATATATATAAATATTCGTATATAAACAAGTCTAAATTGAAAACAACGTTCAAACCTATGATTACGTTGGATAAAAACCGCAATTTTTATACGTGTGCATGCAAAACAAATTTCTTGTTAGAGGGGTCTAAATACAGCACAAACAACATTTTCCAAAAGACCAAAAAAGTGAGAAAGTATATTTTAACAAAACGCATTTGACTAACAGGTCGAACAACAAATGTTCTTAAACTCCGCTGACTGCCATTGGCGATTGCCAAATAAACGGATCACCGATGTAATAAATGGGTCTTAATTTTAAATTTAATACTAACAGAAAAACAATAAACTTGCGAAAAAGATGGTATACCGCAAACAAAAGGTGCAAAGGCTTTTGTACACCATATCCGGATTTCGACAATTAATGTCTCTTCAGTGATGTTAGGAATCGAAACGGTATTTGGAAAGCCATACAATTTACCTCAATTTAGGATAGACTCTTGAATTTTGAGGAGTCAAAATAGGATGAACGGATCATATAAACCCGAAGGCAAATATAATACAAGCCCAAACGAAAAAATATAAACAAGTCTAAATTGAAAACAACGTTCAAACCTATGATTACGTTGGATAAAAACCGCAATTTTTATACGTGTGCATGCAAAACAAATTTCTTGTTAGAGGGGTCTAAATACAGCACAAACAACATTTTCCAAAAGACCAAAAAAGTGAGAAAGTATATTTTAACAAAACGCATTTGACTAACAGGTCGAACAACAAATGTTCTTAAACTCCGCTGACTGCCATTGGCGATTGCCAAATAAACGGATCACCGATGTAATAAATGGGTCTTAATTTTAAATTTAATACTAACAGAAAAACAATAAACTTGCGAAAAAGATGGTATACCGCAAACAAAAGGTGCAAAGGCTTTTGTACACCATATCCGGATTTCGACAATTAATGTCTCTTCAGTGATGTTAGGAATCGAAACGGTATTTGGAAAGCCATACAATTTACCTCAATTTAGGATAGACTCTTGAATTTTGAGGAGTCAAAATAGGATGAACGGATCATATAAACCCGAAGGCAAATATAATACAAGCCCAAACGAAAAAATATAAACAAGTCTAAATTGAAAACAACGTTCAAACCTATGATTACGTTGGATAAAAACCGCAATTTTTATACGTGTGCATGCAAAACAAATTTCTTGTTAGAGGGGTCTAAATACAGCACAAACAACATTTTCCAAAAGACCAAAAAAGTGAGAAAGTATATTTTAACAAAACGCATTTGACTAACAGGTCGAACAACAAATGTTCTTAAACTCCGCTGACTGCCATTGGCGATTGCCAAATAAACGGATCACCGATGTAATAAATGGGTCTTAATTTTAAATTTAATACTGACAGAAAAACAATAAACTTGCGAAAAAGATGGTATACCGCAAACAAAAGGTGCAAAGGTTTTTGTACACCATATCCGGATTTCGACAATTAATGTCTCTTCAGTGATGTTAGGAATCGAAACGGTATTTGGAAAGCCATACAATTTACCTCAATTTAGGATAGACTCTTGAATTTTGAGGAGTCAAAATAGGATGAACGGATCATATAAACCCGAAGGCAAATATAATACAAGCCCAAACGAAAAAATATAAACAAGTCTAAATTGAAAACAACGTTCAAACCTATGATTACGTTGGATAAAAACCGCAATTTTTATACGTGTGCATGCAAAACAAATTTCTTGTTAGAGGGGTCTAAATACAGCACAAACAACATTTTCCAAAAGACCAAAAAAGTGAGAAAGTATATTTTAACAAAACGCATTTGACTAACAGGTCGAACAACAAATGTTCTTAAACACGCTGACTGCCATTGGCGATTGCCAAATAAACGGATCACCGATGTAATAAATGGGTCTTAATTTTAAATTTAATACTAACAGAAAAACAATAAACTTGCGAAAAAGATGGTATACCGCAAACAAAAGGTGCAAAGGTTTTTGTACACCATATCCGGATTTCGACAATTAATGTCTCTTCAGTGATGTTAGGAATCGAAACGGTATTTGGAAAGCCATACAATTTACCTCAATTTAGGATAGACTCTTGAATTTTGAGGAGTCAAAATAGGATGAACAGATCATATAAACCCGAAGGCAAATATAATACAAGCCCAAACGAAAAAATATAAACAAGTCTAAATTGAAAACAACGTTCAAACCTATGATTACGTTGGATAAAAACCGCAATTTTTATACGTGTGCATGCAAAACAAATTTCTTGTTAGAGGGGTCTAAATACAGCACAAACAACATTTTCCAAAAGACCAAAAAAATATTCGTATATATATATATATATAGGGGAACGTGAAGGATAATGCTAGCTTCTTCTTGTGTAAACGATACAGAAGGCTAATGTTTAGAACCATCATATACTACCAAACACTAATTGCACATTTATTCTTCCTTATTTTGTTTTCTTGGTAAACAATGTAATGAAGCAGTTTACCTCAATATCTCAATGGAAGCTACGTATACGCCACTAAGTTGACCCTTGCTGACATATGATGTGACGATGATTGGTCAAGTAAATAAACAAAAGTTTTGTGTGACAAACTGGCGTGTTGGAACAGGGTTGTTTCACAAAATTATTTGAAGAGCTCATTCATCAGTCCTACAACTAAGCCCAAGAAATCACATCAAAATGATGTTGGATTGAAAATCAGCTTATCAGATACACCACTTAGAAAACACAAAATTTTCAAAAAAATTTGTCACTTCAATTATAAGTTGGTTTGTTGGTGAATACCACATGTTTCGTTTTCTTGATAGTAGGTGGTTATTGTTGCATGAAGGAATCAATAGTAAATACACAACACTTATCAATATTTATAAATGTAAATATTTAGTTAATTACAAACATAAACATGCAATACAAATTAAAAATTAAAGGAAGACAAATTAAAATATTTTTTTTCAATGTGTAGGGAAATATAACATCACAAACTTTCCTTCATCCTTTTCAATATTTAATTTCCATGATTAGTTATAAAAATGTTGAAATAAACAAAATGTCAATTAATTGCATTGTTCCTGTCCTAGAGTGGTAATATCAGAAACTGGACACATTGTGTATTATCATCTCTACTGAAAAGAAACTTCGTTTTTTGTTTTGTTTTAAACATCTGTTTGTTAAGTAATATTATCTGTCCCTTTATCAGCATGAGACGACAGATTTATGGCTCTAATTAACCATTTTATAATTGAGAGAAGATATGAAATTTTCACTCTGAAGGGCTTAGATGCAAGACTGTCTATAGACAACTGAATTTTAA